TCTCATAAGGGGAATTGGAAGGAAGCGAATTTAATAGTAGAGGACAGCAACTTTGATTTCCTATCCCAAAATGCTTAGCTTCAACTTGTGCTACAGATGAGGGAATCTTCGAAGGCCCCCCCAACAGAAAGGTCAAAGCTGGCGTCCATTTCTGACAACTGATGCCACACTAGCCGTAAACTGTCAGGAGAAGTTTGTAATGGGACTGCATCCTGATAATGGCGCGGACGACACTTCTCCCACATCTTTTCAGCTGAACAGGACCCAGGTAGGTGCTTGACTAGGCAGCATTGAAAGCCGACCAAAGTCAACTATGACGACTAACGATGAACGAAGGTGGCGACCAGCAAGTACTCTCTTCGTCACTAGACTTACTTTGCCAGAAGGAACTCCGAATCCCGTCAAACTCGGGATATCGCGATCGACCATTGCCTAAGTTGAATGGAACTTCTATGACTGGCTAAATTCCACCACTCCATCGAGCACGTTGGGATGACCAAAGCTAAGAATGCGTATATTCGGGAGGGCTTATGAGGGAGACTTGGTCGCGAGACCACATCAGTAACCTCAAGCCATTCTGCTCGAGTGTTGTGCCTCCTTTCGATCCCAGAGACGGCCTCAGAGTGTTATACAAATACCAAGATTGTCCATTCAACAAATCCTGAGAGACAAAATTCATCTTTTGTTGTTGTTTGGGGAACAGTCCAAAGGTCGAACTTTTACGACCTGAAAGTGATGACATTTCGACAAGAACTTATTCCAACTTTTGGGCTCCATAAAGTGAGAGTGAAAGGATAATAATTGCAACGTTTTTTGTCATTTTTAGACTTACCAGTTTAAGTCTCTTGCTGTGCCTTATTTATGGCTCTCTTGTGAGGTACCTGGAGCGTCTTAATGACAGGCGGTGTGGTAGGTGCGCAATTAATAAGAATTTCCAGAAAAAAAAATGCCTCCAGTCTATCGAGAATGTAAAATCAAGGTCATCAGATGCTTTGAAAATACCTTTTCACAATGTTTGTCTAGCATACGTGGAATTGAGCCTAAAAATAACTTCCAGATTTAT